GGGCACGGGCTCAGCACAGCCCTCTCACACATGGCTTGGCCCAGTGGTGTCCGGCTGTGGACCTGGAGCCGGGCCACCCCCAGGCCACCCCCTCGCGTCTTCAGCACAGACTGGGACAGGCGGGAGGTCAGAGCCGGGACTGCGTGTGGTGGCCTCGGACTAATCAGGAGCCTTGACGCTGGTCTAAGATGCTTTCCTCAAGGACAGTCTACAAAACCAGAGTCCTCATTTCTGCGAAGAAAGGAGAGTAATTCAGTTCACGTTCCCCGAAGAGTTCTCTATCCTGTGTGTTTTCAGTGCGTGTCTAGTGTCTGTGGTTGGTCTTCAAGGTCATTTTTCCAGGCTGGAGGTCAGCAGTGGCTGTAGAGTGAAATGCCTGGGAAGGGGTGAATGTGGACACCAGGGCCGTGTGGGGTCGTCCCTTGGGAAGAAAGTCAGCAGGGACAGCGCAGGCTGCTTAGAGCCCAGTGCCGTTTGTGCCGGCAGCACCCTCAGGGCCGTGCCGTCTGCCCGCTGCCGCGAGCAGACTCAGGCCCAGCGTGGATTTCCCAAACGAGAACAGACAGCCTTCCCTGGCAGCTGCAGTGAGCAGTGGGAGGCGCCCAGGAGCAGCTGGGGGTAGATGAGGAGGAACCACCTGCCGCCCATGGCTGCAGCCCAGTTGGGCCAGCGTCCTCTCTGCAGTTCGGAGCTCTGTCACCCACCTTCTTGGGGGACAGCCGAGATACAGGTCTCCCCTTGATTCCACTCTGTGCCACCTTAACCACAGGAGGGCACCGGACCTGGGGTGTCCCGGAGAGGCCGGGTCCGGGGCGTCCCGGAGAGACCGGGCCTGGGGTGTCAAGACTTGCTATGGTTTCTCGGTGGTTATCTTGGTCCCGCAGCCGTAACGTGGAAGATATTTATGACCTAATACAAATTTTCGAAGCCAGCTTGCAGAATTATAGTTGCAGCATGGCCTCAGTGAAGTGAATCACGTCCACTGAAGGGAAATTGCAGCATCTTGTTAGCTGTGCGGGTGACAGGAACATAGGCCATTGTGTTCTTTTGTGTTTTCTCAGTCTTATGTTAGCACATATTAATTTTATAATGAGGCATTTTTCTACTGAATAAAGCTACACGAGCCTGCAGGGAAAAGGGAGGTGAAGGTAAGCCGGTGGTGCTGCTGGTTACCGGAAGGCAGGCCAAAGGCGGGTCTGGCTCCCTGTAAGCAGGGCAGTGCGTGGTCCTCGGCGGCCGTAAGCCAGTCATGGCCCGGAGGAGGCAGGCTTTCCCTAACATGGAAGACTCCCCAGAGGATGGTTATAGACTGTGCGCATCCACCCAGTGAGCCTGAGATTAGGTCGTGGTCGAATCCAGCCACGGGCCCAGCTTCAGCATAAAGTCACTTGTGATCTTTACCAAGTGGTCTGGGGCAATGGTTTTGCTGTAAGGTAGTAAATGTTTGCTTCAGTGTAATTGTACCAATGAAGAGTGACATCTACCTCTATTTAAACAAATCTGCCGTGATCCCAGGGCGTGGAAATACTGACATTTCTAGCCCTGCTTGCGTAAGTAGATCCAGTCCATAAATAATGATGCCGGAGTAGCTTGAGCTGTGAGTTGCTGATACGGACACACGGGGTGTGGTTTTGAGTTCAGCTCTGTCCCTCCCACAATCCAGGTGAGCCTGGCAGAGGGTACCATGTAAGAGAGGTGCTAGTTTAGAGACGCCCCCCCCAGCGGAAGACGCCAAGGGGAAGACACGTGTTTGTGCATTCTGGAAAGGGGGGGTGGATGTGGTTTGTTCTCTACTGATGAGTGCTAGTAAGGCAGAGGGGAGCGCTTTGTTTCCAGGAAGGGTTAATATCTTTTAGTTAAGAACGGAGCCAAGAACAGCCATTGTCAGCCCCTGCCGGCCAGCTTCTCGGGGAAGTGCCCGAGGAGGCTGGCCATCAGCATGCCGACGGCATCTGGCCGCTGCCAGGCCTCACCTGACCCAGACGGTGCCGGTGCCCCCCTTTCCTGCCGCTCCAGCAGAGAGCAAACTGATTGTGGCTAATCAGATAAGGTGGGAGTGATTGGCAAGTGGAGAGAGGTGATTGAGAGATTGAAGACGGCCCCTGCGTCCTGGCTCAGGGCGGTGTCCCTGCCCTTTGCCGCTGGTGCTCGGGCTCCCGGGGCTGTGCGTGCTCAGAGGGCACAAGCAGGAGATGGCCGGAGCGTCCCCGTTGTTGGGGATCAGGGTGGGAGAGGCTTAGGCTCCTGGCCCCATGTGTGTTCAGAGTGTACGCTCACAGGAGCCCACAAGTGTCCCTGGCATTGGGGTTTTGCAAGATTTGTCTTAACTCATGGTGGAAATTCACACCTTTAGAAACTTCAGATTGCATCATTGCACATCTTGGGATGTGGACTTGGGAATGTGAGCCGTTCCCTCAGCAGCTGCAACATAGCATGAAATCTGATGCACCGGAAGTGAGCCACAAGTCCACAGAAGTTAGCAAACGATCCAGCCCCGACTCATGCATGATAGCCCAGCAGAAAGCGGGCCTTGGCGGAATGAGGAGGTCTAGAATTCTGCATTCCTCACTGGTGCATTGTGTAGTCTCTCCTGTGATCTGCATGGGAAGAGGAGAACATTCTTTCAAGGTGTGAAGCCCCGAAGGACGCTGTCTGTCCACAGGCAGTGGTTGGGAGGGGCTGGAGTCAGGCAGACGGGAATGCTTTCCGGGGGCAACTCTGGCTCTTCCTGGCGGAGTGACTGGCGCTCATAAGCCCCGAGCTCCTCACCTGTAGATGTGGGGTGTCACCAGCTGCCTCAGGGCTGTGTGCAGGTTAGATCGGGGTGTGGACAAGCGACTTGGCGTGGTGCCCGGTCCATGCAAGTGTTTAATATTCCTCGAGTGGCTCGAAGCGGCTCCAAGAAACCTCTTTTCACTTTGGAAAGCCTCTTTTCCAAAAGCTCCCCTAGGAGACGGCGGTGGGCATGGGTAGGTCCCAGGACTTTCTAGGGAAATCTGAGCCCCTCTGGGGCAGACGTGCTCTCACTTTAGTCCGGACTCAAGTAGGTTGTTAGTCTTTGGGTCCTTGAATTAGGGCCAGCTGCCAGTTGTCTGTACACAGGATGCTTCATGCATAAAACCCATTCCCCAGAACTACCCCATGTCACCTGCAGCCCATGACAGCCCACAAAAGGGAGAGGTACGAGGCTCCTTCCCCAGAGCTTTCCCACACACTGTGGTCCCCGGGCCATCGGTCCCCAGAGTGTCACCTGAAGCTCACCAAAGTGCAGGGTTTGGGGTCACACCATAAGCATAAAAATCAGAACCTGAAGTTTAAAATACCAGATGCCAAGGTCATGTGTATGCTCCAGGGTCCATGAACTTAGAGGATTTCTGGAGGAGTGTAAATGGGGTGCACCTTGTGGACCAGGCTGGTGATCCTGCCTTGCTCGTTGTGGGGAGCAGACCCAGGAGTGCTTGCCAGCGTCCAACCTGGACGTGGGCCTCGGTCATTTTGTCAGGGACGGAAGGGATGGGGAAGGGAAATGGGACCTTACCACAGTTGCAGACTAGACAGTTCAGGCTTTGGTTGCCCGTGTTTGCATCAGTTTCCTTTACAGAACTAACGTTCTGGAGGTGAGCGCACTGTGACTGTATGAAGTCTGCATATCGGCATCAGAGGGGTGGGGGCTCCCACTTTCTTTCCTGGGACATTTCTCCTCTTCTGTTGCTCCCCCAGAGTAGCCTGCCCCTTCCCCTGCCGGCTCTCCCCCCACCTCCCTCCCAAGTCACTGCTCCAGCCCCGGGACTCCTGGCGTCCTGTGATTCAGCCCAGGCTGCAGATAAGTAGCCCCGGAGGTGGGTCCTCGGCAGCCCACAGAGATGCCATGGTGTGAAGCCAACCCGTGATCTTGCCCTCACGGTGCCTACGGCCTGCCTCTGCTTAGACACCCACTCCTCCCCCTGCGTCCTACCCAGTGACCAGGAGGATGCCATGCCACCTGCTCTTCTTCTTCAGCAATTCTTGCCCCTTCTCCTTTCCCATCCACTCTCCATTCCAGCCGAGGTTAGTTAAATCAGTAGCACCGTCAAGACTTCTTTCCTGGCCCCAGTTTGTTTTCATTATCCTTTATCAGAAGACACGTTAGCTGAAAAATGTCATTTGACCCAGTTTAGACCCCACTAGATAACCTCTGCGGTTCCGGCTTTGACCCCAGCATGTCAGCAGTCAGTGAGGGACTCCTGCAGGTGCAGAGAGGCCCCGCTCACCCTCCTTGCTGTGTCCACCCAAAGCCAGTTCTTCATCGGGGTGGGTCATTGAGGGAGATGTTAACTGGCAAGACAATCTGATGAACAAAAGGATTCTTCCCAAAAGCACATGCCCTGAAGGCGGTAATGACAGAGCTGTGATACAGTCTTTCTTCAATTAACACTTTCTTCAATTAACTTTCTCCCCAGCAAAGTCTTTACTCTCCAGGCTTTGCTACCCTCATCCTGCCACTCAAAAAACACACTCTCTGCCCAGATTCCAGTGGTAACAGCCTTTTTTCTTTTCAAGAAAAGCCAAACCACAAAAGAAGCAACCCAAAGTTATGACCCAAACCGTGGAAACCATATAAAGTGACAGTTTGCTCAGAAAGTATCTGATACATTTAAAAAGGCCACACCCGTCCTGGTGCCCTGGAGGAATGAGACTGATCTTTCCATAGAAGTGAATAATCATCCTCTCATGTAACATACTTGATGCTTTTCTTAAAAAGAGAAAAAAGCTACCCTATGGCTGATGTCTCAGCTTTATGAGCATCATAAACCCAACCTCCACCATCCGCTAGGGAGCAGCTTCCCCTCCGCTATGCCTCCCTGGTGGTGAATGGCAGTATTTAAAATGTGTCCGTGTGAAACATTCCTTGACAAATTGGTTTTCAGACAGAGAAATCTCCTCCTAGGACATATTATGACAAAGTCTAGAAGCAAATTCATTTTTTATGACTTTGTTGTTCTTATTTGGAATCACTGCAGATCCTAACAAATTTGGAGCAAGGCTTAGCTGAAGACGGAAGCATGAGCAGCATCACACAGGAGAACAGACAAGGTCAGTGGCCAGACTTGTCATTAAATAATTATCAAGAGTTGTCAGAAGATTCGGCCCCAGAGGTTTTCTTGTGTCTCATCCTTTGCATTGGTCCTTGCATGCATTCATTTGCTTGTTCCTGTTTTGGGAAGCCAAGCACCAGGCCTGGCACTTCTGATACATGAAAAGCAAATGTAGATGTGAGGGCTGCCCACAGGCAGCCCCGTTGGGTGCAGAGGACCTGCCTACACCCAGTAATCCAGAAACCAGTGTGGCTTCCACGCTAGGCAGGTGCTGGGACAGAGAGGAGCCCAGGCCTTCCTGGGAGGGGCGTCCTTGGGAGGGGGGTGCTGCCCACCAGGGCTACAGCCTTGGCAGGGGGAGCATGAGGCCCTGCAGTCCTGCAGAGGAGAGGAAGAGGGCCCTGTACACAGCCGATGAGGCCAGGCTGACAAATTCAGTCTTGACACTGAGCATTGGGCTGCTGGGAGCTGATTACATTTTGAGATCATGCTGGCCACAACTTCTTGAGAACATGAGGGATGAACTTCTAATTATGCTTCAAAACCCAACTCAAATGGCACCTCCCTGAGAAGCCCCTCACCTACCACTCCTTCCTCAGGGCCTGTCCTTCCCTTTCCCCAGAGCATCGGTCCCGCTCTCTCTCACCTCCAGGGGCAGTTTCCACCTCCGTGTGCCTGACTCAGAGCAGGCTCTGCACACCACTGACCAGCATGCATTACTCTGGGAAGTGGTGGGCCTCTTCTGAAGCTGCTCGGGTCAGAACGATGGGCCGAAAGCAGGCGAGGTGGCCTGGGGAGGGGAACACTGCGGGTGGAGAGCCGTGCTGGTGCCCCCAGGGGTATGGTGAGCCTGGCCACACTCAGGAGCATGAGAAGGGAGAACAGCGTGGGCAGGAGATGTTTGCCTTTGGGGCCAACAGCCCTGGGCTACATTTATGCTTTAAATATAGTGTCCTTTGTTTGAGAAATCCCAAAGGACAGCCAGGTGTGTAGGGGAGAGTGTGTGTGTGTGTGTGTGTATGCACACATCCTTCCCAGCAGTGTGTGCGTGTACGTGTGTGTGCATGTGTGTGTACGTGCACGCACACATCCTTCCCAGCAGTGTGCGTACGTGCGCGTGTACGTGCGCACACATCCTTCCCAACAGTGTGTGCATGTACGTGTATACATGCGCACACATCCTTCCCAGCAGTGTGTACATGTGTGCGTGTGTACGTGCATACGTGTGCATACATCCTTCCCAGCAGTGTATGCATGTACGTGTGTGTACGTGTGTACACATCCTTCCCAGCAGTGTGCATGTACGTGCGTATGTATGTGCGTGTGTACATGTGCACACATCCTTCCCAGCAGTGTGTGCATGTACGTGCATGTATACGTGTGCACACATCCTTCCCAGCAGTGTGTACATGTGTGTGTGTACATGCGTGTGTACATGCACACACATCCTTCCCAGCAGTGTGTGTGTACGTACGTGTATACGTGTGCACACATCCTTCCCAGCAGTGTATGTGTGTGTACGTGCGTGCACACATCCTTCCCAGCAGTGTGTGTACGTGCGCGCACACATCCTTCCCAGCAGTGTGCATGTATGTGTGTACGTGCGTGTGTACATGCGCACACATCCTTCCCAGCAGTGTGTGTGCATGTGTGTGTGTGTGTACGTGCGCGCACACATCCTTCCCAGCAGTGTGTGTGTGTGTGTACGTGCGCGCACACGTCCTTCCCAGCAGTGTAGCTGCAGGCCGGTTAGCAAGGAGAGAGGTCTCTCACCCTCCGACATCCGTTCTCTGGTATTGTCTGCACGTGGTCACTTTTCCCCACTGAGGGCCTGTTTTAGGGGAATTAGCAGGTAGTTACTAGATCTCAGAAAGCAGTTCCTAGAGAGCTAAAGGTCATAACAGATAAACAGATTTCAAGTGAATGGGGAAGAATTAGCGCTTGAAAGAAGTCTGTGGAGATAAATTGCGGTTCACTGAGACAGCCCATATTTTATGTTCATTAACAACAGATACTGTTCAGAATTTTTCTTTTCACAAAGATGATGTTGTAAGCAGCTAATGTATTTTTAATGGGTGAAAGAAGTGAGTTAAGTTCTTAATTCTGGCAATTAAGTTTCTTGTGTTCTGAAGTAGTCCAAGAATAAGCGTAATTTCTCGGCAGTTGTTACCCCACAGTTGGCCATCGGTCCTGGCAGCAGCAGGATGGTCAGATTCGGGGTGAGGCAGGCTCACTGGAGTCTGGTCATTCAAGTACGCCTCCAGCCCTCAGCTGAACCACCTGACCGGGCCAGTGTGCCCCCGCCACCTGCCTCCCCACCCCCGCCTCCTCCCCCTCCTCCCCAATCCCACCACGCTCCCCTGTCCACCCCCATTCCCACCTTCCTCCTGGGCCACGTGTGTGACCACACGCCACCACTGGGCAGACACCCCGTGGGGAGCTGGCTTTGGTTCTGCATCATCGCCGACCTCCTCCCTCCCATGTGAGAGTACTCCTGACCTTTTAGGCAGCACTTCTGTGCCCTTCCCACACTGATGCTCACAGAGTCTGGAAGGCAGGGTGGTAGTTACAGTTTCCATCTGAGAGGTTCTGCAGTGGGGCCTCGAGAAGGCCGATCCCAGGACGCAGAGCTCGGTGTGCAGACACCCTGGTGGGCCAGCCATCTGCCAGCCCTGCAGCCGGGGGCTTGCGGCTGGACTGCGCCCCCAGGCAGGTGGGCGGTGCCTCCCACAGGTCACCTGGAAAGGGGTCCAGTGTCTGGACAGTGGCCCGACCGCAGGCAGACCCCTGTGTTCATTCTCTGTGAGCATGGCCCTGGCTGGGCTGTGTGGTCTCCTGTCGGCCCTGAAGCTGACCCGTTAGCCTCCTGTTCTTGCTGTGTCCCTTCTGCATCCAATCTTCTCCCCAGGCCAAGAGCGCTGGCCTGATGCCCTGTGCTCAGCAGCCACGGTGACAAGACCATGGCCGAGAGCCAGGACGTGCCTCCAACGCGCACACGCTCACCGCTGCCCTTCTCTTGCAGCCTCCATTCAGCTGTGGCGGTCCCGACTGGGCCGGGTGATGTGCTCCATGGCAAACTGCCTGCTCCTGATGAAGGTACGTCCGTTCTGGAAGAGGGGGTGTCAGCAGAAGCTGCGCGGGGCGGCTGGGACCCTGATGAGGAAATGCCCCGCGGTGAGCAGGAGGCTTAGCCCAAGCAGAGAGCTCAGTAACACACTCCTGGATGACGTTAGTTTATACCGAAAGGAATCTCAGCAGAATATAGTTTACCTTGTCAAGTTTGATTGTTCAGACATGGGTCTCAATGATTTAATTAAAATCATCCTCCTCCTCCCTATATCCCCCCACCCCGTATGGTTTTCTCTGGATTCCATCCCAGAAAGGTCCCCGTGGAAGGGGGGTGTTTTCCCTTGTCCTGACCAGACATGCTGGTGGATGCCTGTGGCATCTGGAGCCGGGCTTCCCCACGAGACCTGTGTCTTGGGGACGCCACACCCCCACCCCATGGAGCCTCCGCCCCCCAGGAGGCAGCCCACACATCCAGGAGGCTGAACTCGACATTGCTCCTTTGTTTCCCCCTGTTCTCAGCTCCTCCCTCCTCTGGGAACCTGCACACAGCTGCCTGGCTCAGCTGGGGCCTGGGGCAGGCTGACCCGCACCCCGCTGGTGGCACTGCCGCACCTGCGGCGGCGGGGGGCGGGGAGGGCTGCGGCAGTGCCCAGGGTCATTCCTGAGCTTGATCTTCAGCAAAGCAGAGCAGGCGGTTTGGCGCGGGGGGGTGAGTCCCATGGCTGGCCCTGGCGCGACAGCCATGTTACACCTCCGCCCCTCGCAGCCCTGTGTGTGAGGCTCGTGCCCTGGGCGCGGCGTGGAGGGCTTGGCTGCGGGCGTGCATTCCCAGCACAGCCCTGCGCCCACTTGGTCAGGGAGAGGACAGGTGCTCTGAACCAGCTTTAGAGCAGCCTGCACTGGGTGCGCAGGTGGCCCCTGTAGGGGTGGGACATGAGGGCGCAGACAGTGACCCTGCAGAGCCCTTTATGTCTCGGAGCCCCAGGCGCCAGCTCTGAAGAGGCTCAGAGCTGTCTTTGAAGTCCCTCCAGCTCTGACATTCACGCAGCACCCCTCAGCACACAGGGTAAAGGACGGTGTGGGGTGAAGGAGCTCAGAGCGTTCTCCGTGCTGTGTGCGCAGCCAGTGTTTCTGACCAGGTGGCTGCCCGAGTGGTGACACCGTGGTCTTGCCCCCAGCGTGTGTGTGGGCAGAAGGGAGTATGTTCCCTCAGTGAGCAGGTCCCTCCCTGGAGCTGGGGCCCTGTCCCCTCTGCCCCTGGAAACAGGCCATTCTCCCCAACTCTGGAGCCCCACGCTCCAGCCTCCCGCCCTCGGGCCACTGCAGCCGCACGGGAAGCCCACGGCTTGTACAAAGAAAGAGCAGATTGTTCGTTCACAGGACTGACGTTTCATTAATCATGGGGCTAAGACTCCCCAGGAGGGAAGTTACCTGTTCCACTGGTAGATTTTTATTTGCATCGCTCAGACACATTAATAGAAGATCATGGGATAAGTGCTTTTGTGGGTTGTACTGTGGTGGTAACAGTACCATCAAGCACCCCACGTAAGTATTCTGCCTACGTCGTCAGGACCCAAGACAGAGCCTGTTACTGTTTCAAAAGTACTTTATGACGAATGCAGTTTAATTGGAATTTTCCACTAATCTTCCATTTTCATGAGTTATAAAGGGAACATTGTGCGGTGGAAGCCTGAGTGAGCACGTGCGTGCACATTCTCTGGCCCTGTGGGGCTGTGCTGCTCGTGGCCGACAGCGAGTTTTATCATCAGCCACTCAGTTCTTGTCGGTAACGTGTCTGTTGCAGTGAAATAAATATTAACTTTTTTATGACAAGAAATCCACTCGTATATTTCAGCCCCAAATACCCGTAGGACATGCCGTCAGGCCCGGGGACAGGTGTGCCGTGGCCGGGGAGATTTGCCCAGGCCCACATTTTGAATGCCACTCCCTTTCCTTAGACCGTGGTAGTGCTGGGGCACCACGCCAGCTGACCAGCACCTACTGCTTCACTGTGCCGCAGGGACCCCCCCTCTCCCGGCCCCACGTAGGCATCAGCTGAGGGACCACGCAGCCACGTAAACCAGCTTCTTCTGCTTCAGTCATCCACACAAACGCTCTCTGGCTGCAAACGGTTGTAAATCCAGTTTCGCGGCCACCAAACCAGTGTAGCTCTAGAGGGAGAAGGGTGAGCACTGAGCTATAGAATAGGCCTGTCCTGTAAGCAGCGCACTGGTGGCCCTTCCCAGAGCCAGTCTGTGCGGTCTGCAGTGGGGTAAACTCTCAAGAGCTCATTTGAGGGGCGCCTGGGGGGCTCAGACGGTTGAGCATCTGCCTTCGGCTCAGGTCATGACCCCAGGGTCCTGGGATCAAGTCCTGAGTCCGGCTTCCTGCTCCACGGGAGACCTGCTTCTCCCTCTCCCCTCCTTGTGCTCTATCTTTCTCTCAAATAAATAAAAATTTAAAAATGTAAAAAAAAAAAATCTCATTTGAGCCATTTTCCTTTTAAGAGACAGTATTCGCTCCACTTCCAGCAAATAAACCATGTCAAGCAATGATAATCAATTTCGGGAAGCTCTGTGGCACACTCCCGCTCTGCTTCGTTTGCTGAGAGGCTCTGCAAAACATTCCGGAGCTCGTCCCCGAGGCCGCAGGCACTCCCGGGCCATGTCCCATCCAGGCCCTGCAGGAGCAGGCCCCGCTAGCACAGCTGGCCTGGTGGCGATCCCTCTGCCTCCATGGTCTGACCTCCTGCCGGGAAGCTAGCTTTCCCACGTGCGTCCCACGCCTGTGGATCTGCCCTGGTTTATTCTCCCAGAAGTGTCGTGTTTGCACAGATCCACGGCAGAATAACTCCATCAGGGATCATTGCTTGGTTTCTGAAAGCTGTCCTTTCCTATCAAATTATCTTCGGAAACACTGACTCCTGGCCTCAGGCGCTGAAACAGAGCTGTGAGGGGGTGACACTGGCTTCCGTGGGCTTGCACTTCCGTGGAAGTGGGCATGTCACCACCCTCCACATCCTGGCCCTGGCTGTCCATGGCGCCGTCCGCAGTGAGTGACACACGAGCCAAGATTTGGGGCACACATCTCAGTGACACTCGAGCGCTAACAGGAAGATCAGACCTGCCTTTTGTTCACTTGAAAGCAGCAGTAAGGGGCAGGTGTTGAACTACAGCGGGTGACTTACCCCCGGAGCTCATGGGGGCACCCCGTGCACACTCAGCTGGAGCCTCAGCCACCAAGCAGTGGGAGGCACTTGCCTCCCCCACGAGAGGTGCCTCTCAGCACACACTTGCTCACACGAGCTCACGCTTGTGCACACGTGTACGCACTTGCTCTCACACTCGTGCTTCCCTGCACTCACACTTGCGCCCATGCCCACACATCTCCCACACTGACATGCTCCTGCGTGTTCACACACGTGTGCGTGCACACACAACCCTCAAACAGCACAGCCCTGCCGTGGGCGGCAGTGATAGCATGAAGCCGTGGGGAGGGACAGGCATGTGCTGTCAGGTTCCTTGTGAGCACTGCATCTTGAATAAAATTTGTCTTAACGAGCTTCCCTGGAAGGTGCCAGACTGGAGAGAGTTTTTTCATTCTTTTCCTGCGAAACTGGAATTTTACTTGTCACCTGTCTTTCTGTAGACCATTCCAATTAGCACACTAGTAACTCCAGCCCCAGTTTGGATCAGACTGAAAAAGCGGAAGAATAAATTGCTTGTGGGGGTGACCCAAGTGCGTCTGCTGCCGTCTGTCTTGTGGCCGTGTGCTGTGAAGCGGGGAAAACACACCACCCGCCACCGAGCCTGCCCAGTGAACGTCACAGTGATCACTGCTGTTCCAGAGAGCCGGGGTTTGTGGGGGGCCTGACACAAGCCAAGGGCCGTGTCCCCAGCGACTCTGCCAGGTGACTTAGTCACACCTGAGAGAGGTGATGAGTTCCACCTCCAACTTGTGGTTGGACAGGGTTTACATGACTCAGCATTGGCCGCGCCCCCCCCCCCCAGCCGCGGGCCGGCACTGGAGGGGGGCAGCAGGGGAGTGCAGAGATGGCCAGGCCGCTCCCACGGGGCAGCGTGGAGGGTGCGCCGACGACCCAGAGAGGCTGGTGAAGGCCGCTCCGTGTCACGCACACAGCTCTGACACGGCCGGAGTCGCGGGCGCCACATTCCAGCGCGGCCGCATCTTGTGCCTGCTCTCGGCTACAGTGTTTGGTGCGGTGTCTTGTGTGTTCTCATGTAAGGACTTTCCCTCACTTTCTAGCCTAGAAAACATGTAAGAGATGCTGTTAATAAATTTGGTTTATGGAATTGGAAGATAGTGAAAAGACGAAGTTCACCAATTAATGATTTTACAGGAAAGAGAGACAGTGCAGGTGAATTCCTGTTGCCATGTAGGTGGAAGCAGGAAGAGGGAGAGGAAGCTGTTTCCTGACTCTGGTTTTGAACAAAACTCGGAACCCTGGTGTGCCCTGTTGTCACGCCAGCCTGCACGCCCCTCGTGGGCCCAGCTTGCAGCGCCGGGTTTCCTGCTTCCACCCAGCTCACGTGTTCACGTGCCCTCTCTCCACATGCGGATCTGCAGGTACTTGAGCTGCTAACTTCGCAAACCTGAGAGTGATCTTTTTAACTCTAAGATGTTCTTCTGGTTGTTCTTCCCATAGGACTATGTGCTGGCTGTGGATGCTTATCACTCGGTTATCCAGTATTACCCAGAGCAGGAGCTACAGCTGCTCAGTGGCATCGGCCGGATTTTCCTTCAGGTACATGCCACACCGGGCACGCGAGCTACGGCGGATGGTCCCTGCCTGGGTGGCTTGGGACTCAGCGTTCATTCTGTAGATAAGAAATAGCACAGAGTGGCACCTGGGGGGCTTAGTCGGTGAAGCGTCTGCCTTCGGCTCAGGTCATGATCCCAGGGTCCTGGGATCGAGCCCCACGTCCGGCTCCCTGCTCAGCAGGGAGCCTGCCTCTCCCTCTGCCCTAACCCCTGCCTAGTGCTCTCTCAAATAAAATCTTAAAAAAGAAAAAGCTCAAAAAATGTTTTGCATCAAATGTTAAAGGTTTAGTTCTTTATAGTAGTTCTGGTTTGACTGTATTAAGTCCCACTGGCTTTGACGGGATCAGGAAGCCAAATTGGTAAATGTGAGTTTCCATAGACTTTCATTGGTGAAGCTTTGAAACAGATCACTTTAGAAATCATCCTGTTGCACTTGGAAGAGCGTTGATAAAGCCATACAGAATCTTATTTGAACTTGGCTGATTAAATAGAGTCCCTCGCTGCTGTTTTGCTGGAAAGAGCGCACAAAGTCCAGAATGAAGCAGCCCCAACGGGGCAGAGGGTGAGGGACAACACCCTCTTGCGAAGAACAGCGCCGAAGCCGGGAGCATCTTCCTGGACCATTTGGCGATGGAGGGATGTGTGCCCCTCCTCACACTTCTGTCTCTCCCAGGACGGCCATCCCACCTTTGCAGGCTGACCCTAAGGGCCTCTGCCCCCGGCCCACCCTCCATCTGTAGGGCTTCTGCCATAACGCCCCCGAGCTGGGGCTGGGGAAAGGAGTATGGGCAAAGGACGGCCCCTGATAGTCGGAGAAGGGCCAGACTTCTCTGGAGAACCAATCACCCTGAGCGGGCACCGTGCAAAGCCATTCTACCGTGGGGATTACCAGTCATTTTACAGATTAGCAAACGGAGGCTTCCCTGTGGTTGAGTGAGCTGCCTGAGGCCCAAGACATAAGCGTACCAGGAAGAATCTGAACAAGGGCTCTCTGAGCCCAGAGCTCAGGTTCTCTTCACTGAAGGGTGGCCCTGTCCTCCTACATCCCCAGTCGTCCACACACATGCACACCCTCCTCCACACCATGCACACACATATCCATGCGCACACACTCCTGCACCCCAAGTTGACACACACATGCACAATCCCCTCCTCCATACCACACACTTGCATCTCCTTCTCCTCCCCCACCCCCAGCCCATACTGTTCATGGAAAGCAGATAAGACCTGCACTGGGTCCAAGGACAGCCTGACAATGAAGGCCAGCTGTGGTCTCTGAGTCCCTCCTGGGGCACTCAGGGGCCTCCGTTGTGGGGCTCTCAAGGGCGGCCTTCCCTGACCAACAGCGTGGATGTTGAGGAGGCTGGAAGACTGGGTTTCTGTCTGTTCTCGTGCCCCGCTAGCACGTAAGCCGTATCTTCTCCGTGTGCCATGGATGCTCATGACTGTCCTGTGAGGTCATTGTGCAGACTGAGCAAGACAAGCCACATAGAGAACACAGTGCTGTGCCTGGAATCCAGTAGGACAAACGCAGAAACGTCATTTCTGAGTCTCAGTTTACACAGCTGGAGGAATATATGCTGGATGTCCATTTAAGAACCCTGACGCATGAAGTAGTCTTGGGCGGGAGCCGTGGATCCAACAGTCCTGAGGTCCGCGTCAGGCTGGGACTCTGTGAGCATTTCCCTGGACATGTTTCTGGCCTCAGGTCGTTGAGAGAAATGTCTGGACACAGAATCTTGGAGAGAAAGGCACTAGCTTCCAGAGCTTTGTTTGACGTCCCACCTGGTTTGGGGACGGTGGCAAACACCACGGGGGAAGCTCATGGTGTTCCTTGTTCTCGGGGCTGAGGGAGGTGACGCCTGGTCAGGAGTTCCCTCCAAACGGAGACAGGGAAACGGGGGACGAAGGACTCACTGCATCCCAGGCAAGTGACCAGGAAACCTAAGCACTCGGGAACTCTTTCTCAAACACCTCTCACTGACACTTGGACTGTTGCCCAACCACAAACTGTCTGAATTCTGCATTTCTGTAAAGGAAATTAAAACTGTGGTACTTCCCCTTACAACACACCTCCGCCAGAGCTTCTGGAAGGAAAGTGCGGGGAGTTGCCAGGCTGTCAGCAGTCAGGGCTGTCCCTGTCAGCTCCACTTCAGGACAGCCAGCAGGCTTCCTTGGGTGTTTAATGGGTGCTGGGTGTGGCTTGGTTTGGTTGGACAGAAACTAGAGTTCTGTATTGGGTCCCAGTATGACTTGGAAATTTGTGAATGTGATGGTCCCTGTCATTTTACCAGTCAACCCCAACAAGTGACTTGGGGCCTGGCTTATTGTACTGAAACATAGTGTGTGTGTACGTGTTTTAAGCTTTATTTATGTAAGAATTTTTACGTATTTATTGAGTTTTTTAATTCCAGTGTAGTTCACATACAGTGTTATGTTAGTCTCAGGTGTACAACGTAGTGATTCAGCACCTCCATCCATCCCCCGCTGCTCATCACAACAAGTGCGCTCCTCAGTCCCAGTCACCTGTTCCCCCCCGCCCCCCGCCGCTGGTCACCATCCCTGTGTGCCCTGTAGTTAACAGTCTGTTTCTCGGTTTGTCTCTCTCTTATTGCCCCTTTGCTCCTTTGTTTCTTAAATTCCAAATATGAGTGAAATTATATAGTACGTACTTTTCTGATTTCACTTAGCATTATACTGTCTAGCTCCATCCATGTCGTTGCAAATGGCAAGATTTCATTCTTTTTTATGGTTGAATAATACTCCATTGTCTCTGTATACACACCACATCTTTAACTATTCATCAGTCGACGGGCACAGTTGTAAATAGTGCTGCTATAAACATACAAGGGTGTGTGTTCCCTTTGAATTAGTGTTTTCATTTTCTTTGGGTAAATACCTAGTAGTGGAATTAATGGGTCGTATGGTAGCCCTGTTTTTAATTTTTGAGGACCCTCCGTACTGTTTTCCACAGTGGCTGCACTAGTTTGCATTCCCACCAACAACTCATGAGGGATCCCCTTTCTCCACATCCTGTTGTTTCTTGTATTGTTGATTTTAGCCATTCTGACAGGTGTGAGGTGATAGCTCATGGTGGTTTTGATTTGTATTTCCCTGATGGCGAGTGATGTTGAGCATCTTTCCATGTGTCTTTTTGGCCATCTGTGTGTCTTCTTTGGAGAAATGTCTGCTCATGCCTTCTGCCCATTTTTTAATTGGATTATTTGGTTTTTGGGTGTTGTATTCTGTAAGCTCTTTATATATTTTGGATACTAACCCTTTATCAGATATGTCATTTGCAAATATCTTCTCCCATTCAGTAAGTTATCTTTCAGTTTTGATTGTTTCCTTCACTGTGCAGAAGCTTTTTATTTTGATGTAGTCCCACTGGTTTATTTTTGCTTTTGCTTCCCTTGCCTCAGGAGACATTTCTAGAAAAATGTTGCTATGGCTGATGTCACAGAGGTTATAGTCTGTGCTCTCTTCTAGTATTTTTATGGTTTCAGGTCTCACATTTAGGTCTTTAAATCATTTTTGAGTTTATTTTTGTGTATGGTGTCAGAAAGTGGTCCAGTTTCATTCTTTTGCATGTAGCTGTCCAGTTTTCCCAACACCATTTTTTGAAGAGACTGTCTTTTCCCCATTGTATATTCTTCCTTTGTTGAAGATTAATTGACCATATAATTGTGGGTTTATTTCTGGGTTTTCTGTTTTGTTTCATTGATCTGTGTGTCTATTTTTGTGCCAATACCATACTGTTTTGATTACTACAGCTTTGCAATATAACTTAAAGTCTGGAATGTGATGCCTCCAGCTTTGCTTTTCTTTTTCAAGATTGCTTTGGCTATTCAGGGTCTTTTGTGGTTCTACACAAATTTTAGGATTGTTTGTTCTAACACTGGGGAAAATGCTATTGGTATTATGATAGGGATCGCATTAAATCTGTAGATTGCTCTAATATAGACATTTTAACAATATATGTTCTTCCAATCCCTGAGCATTGAATGTCTTTCCATTTCTTTGTGTCTTCAATTTCTTTCATCAGTGTTTTCTAGTTTTCGGAGTACAGATCTTTTACCTCTTTGGTTAGGTTTATTCCTAGGTATTTTATTATTTTGGGTGCAGTTGTAAATGAGATTGATTCCTTGATTTCTCTTTCTGCTGTTTCATTATCAGTGTGTAGGAATGCGATAGATTTCTATACATTGATTTTATATCCTGTGACTTTACTGAATTTGTCAGTTCTAGTAGCTTTTTGGTGGTCTATGGGTTTTCTGTATATAGTGTCATGTCATCTGCAAATAGTGAAAGTTTGGCTTCTTCCTTACCAATTTTGATGCCCTTTATTTCTTTTTCTTGTCTGATTGCTGAGGCAAGGACTTCCACTATTATGTTGAATAAAAGTGCTGAGTAGACATCCCTGTCTTGTTCCTGACCTTAGGGGAAAAGCTCTCGGTTTTTCCCCATTGAGGATGATGTTATCTGTGTTTTTTTCATATATGCCCTTTATTATGTTGAGGGATGTTCCCTCTAAATCTACATTGTTGAGGGTTTTTATTATGAATGGATGTTGTACTTTGTCAAATACTTTTTCTGCACCTATTGAAATGATCACATGGTTTTTATCCTTTCTCTTATTGATGTGATGTATCACATTGATTTGCAAATAGTGAACCACCCTTGCAGCCCAGGGATAAATCCCATTTGATTGTGGTAAATTATTTTTTTAATGTATTGTTGGATTGGGCTTGCTAATATTTTATTGAGGACTTTTACATCTATGTTCATCAGGGATATTGGTCTATAGTTCTTTTTCTGTGGTGTCTTTATCTGGTTTGGTATCGGGGTAATGCTGGCCTCATAGAATGAATGTGGAAGTTTTCCTTCCTTTTCTGTTCTTTGGAATAGTTTGAAAAGAATAGGTATTATTAACTCTTCTTTATATGTTTCATAGAATTCCCGTGAAGCCATCTAGTCCTGGGCTTTTGTTTGTTGGGAGATTTTTGGTTGTGATTAAATTTCATTGCAGGAAATTGGATTGTTCAAAATTTCTATTTCTTCCTGCTTCAGTTTTAGTAGTTTATGTTTCTAGGAATTTACCCATTTTTTCTCAGTTGTCCAATTTGTTATAATTTTTCACATTTTTTTTTTTAAAGATTTTATTTATTTATTTGAGAGCGAGAGAATGAGAGACAGAGAGCACAAGAGGGAAGAGGGTCAGAGGGAGAAGCAGACTCCCCGCTGAGCGGGGAGCCCGATGCGGGACTCGATCCCGGGACTCCAGGATCATGACCTGAGCCGAAGGCAGTCACTTAACCAGCTGAGCCACCCAGGCGCCCTCACAACATTCTGATACTGTTGGTTATTTCTCCTCTCTCATTTGTGATTTTGTTTGAGTCTTTTTTTTAATGAGTCTGGCTAGAGGTTTATCAATTTTGTTGATCTCTCCATAGAACCAGCTCCTGGGTTCATTGATCTGTTTTATTGTGGGGATTTTTTAAAGATTTTATTTATTTATTTGACAGAGAGAGACACAGTGAGAGAGGGAACACAAGCAGGGGGAGTGGGAGAGGGAGCAGCAGTCTTCCCACGGAGCAGGGAGCCTGACATAGGGCTCGATCCCAGGACCCTGGGATCATGTCCTGAGCCGAAGGCAGATGCTTAACGACTGAGCCACCCAGGCGCCTCTAGGTTTTTTGTTTTTTTTTTTTAGATTTTTTATTTATTTACTTATTTGAGAGAGAGAGCATGAGGAGAGGGGAGGAGCTGAGGGAGTGAGAGAAGCAGACTCCTGGCTGAGCAGGGGAGTACATATCCTTTTTTTTGTTTGCCTGGGAAATTCTTCATTTCTCCTCCTATTCTGCACAGGAGCCATGCTCATCTTCTCAGTATCTGTCGTTCCAGTTTTAGTATATGTGCTGCTGACATGCGTACCCTTCTATCCTGAATGAGAAACTTGCCAGATAGAGTGTTCTTGGCTGCAGATTTTTCCCTTTCAGCATTTTGAATGTATCATCCCACTGTCCCTTCTGTCCTGGAAAGTTTCTGCTGCAAAATCCCCCAATAGTCTTGGGGGTTTCCCTTGTGTGTAACTGTCTTTGGTCTTGCTGCCTGTTCTGTCACTGCTTTTTGCCATTTTAATTACTGTGTGTCTCATGTGGACCTCCTTGGGTGGATTTTGATGGGAATTCTCTGTGCCTCCTCCATGTGGATGTCTGTTTCCTTCCTCAGATTAGGGAAGTTTTCAGCTGTTATTTCTTCAAGTAAATGTTCTGCTGCCTTTTGGCTCTCCTCTTCTTCTGGGATCCATGTAATGCAACTGTTATTCCACTTGATGGAGTCACTGAGTTCCCGAAGTCTGTTCTCTCATTTTGCATAATCTTTTTTTCTCTCATTTGCTCAGCTTGATTACTTTCCATTACTCTCTCTTCCAGGTCATTAACTTGTTCCTCTGCTTCCTCTAACCTGCTATTTATTCCATCTAGTGTATTCTTAATTTCATTTATTGTGTTCTTCATCTCTGATTGGTTCTTTTTTATCTCTGTATTAAGGAATTCACTGATGTCCTCCCCCCTTTTCTAAGTCCAATGAGTATCTTTATGATCATTAAATTCTCTGTAAAGCATACTAATCTCCATCTCGCTTAGGTTTCTTGCTGCAACTTTGTCCTGTTCTTTCATCGGTGACATACTCCTCTGTCTCCTTATTTTGCCTCACTCTCTGTGTTAGGAAAGTCAGCTATGTCTCCTGCCATTGAGAGGAGCAGGCAGATCGCATGCTTTTAATGAAGCAGCCCTGGTCCCGTTCCACAGAGGACGCACAGCTGCTGCAGGAGCCCACCTGGCCAGGGCTACCGCAAAGCACCCACCGGCAGGGGCGCAGTGCGACAAGCTGTGCACACCAGTCCTCTGCCGCAGAGGATGGCGGCCACCATGGAGACCGGGGCCAGCTGGGGCCACTGTGACGTGTGTACAGACATGCGGGCGGGGGCAGTTTTAACAAGGTCTGTGCAGGGCGCCTGGGTGGCTCAGTTGGTTAAGCGACTGCCTTCGGCTCAGGTCATGATCCTGGAGTCCCGGGATCGAGTCCCGCATCGGGGGGGGGGGGGGGGTCCCTGCTTAGCAGGTAGTCTGCTTCTCCCTCTGATCCTCCCTCCTCTCATGTGCTCTCTCTCTCATTCTCGCTCTCTCAAATAAATTAATAAAATCTAAAAAAAAAAAGGTCTGTGCATCCTCCCAGGGAAGTCAGGAGATGCCTTGCCGGCAAGGTTTGTGCCGGTCCTCTGGGTGAGGGGACCCACAATGGGCCCAGCTGGAGGGGTGCGGGCACGGTGCAGGCAGGTCAGGGAGGAGTGCAGGTGCCGTGCTGCTCCCACAGGTGGCTGCGTGATTGTCCTGGGGGCGGGGGAGGGCACGGTGCCTGCCAGCTCCCCTTTTCCTTGGAAGTCCCTCAGGCACTCTCTCGCCCGTATGCCCCAGGCAGTTTTCAGACTGCTGCTTCTAATCTAGATCTCCATGGGCCATTTGCTGTGCTGTCCCTTTGAGGGCAGGGACCCAGCTTCCAGTCACCTCCAGGTTCTCCCAGAGCCAAGCCGGCTGGTTTTCAAAGTTCCAGGCTTTAAGTCCTGCTGGTTGTAAGAATTCACAAAATTTGGCCCCTCTGATTTTCAAATCCAGATGCTCGGGATTCGTCTGCCTCATGTGGGGTCCCTGGTGTGATCGTCTGTTTCTCACCCCTCTCTGCACCTGCGGCCCCTCTCCCACGGCTGGCCCCCTGGGGCTTAACTTCCTACTGTCTGTCTGTCCTTCCTACTCTTTGTTGTGGCGTCTTCTCTGCCATTAGTTGTGTTTATTCTGCCTTTGGGTCATTATCTGGGTTGTTTGCATTGATGTTATCTGGCTGGATCCATGGGACCAGGTGAGCTCAGGGTCCTCCTACTCGACCACCTCTCTGAAAGTTATCCTTTTTTAAGATTTTGACAGAGGGAGACACAGCGAGAGAGAACACAAGCAGGGGGAGCGGGAGAGGGAGAAGCAGGCCTCCCACTGAGCAGGGAGCCAGATGCGGGGCTCAATCCCAGGACCCTGGGATCACGACCTGAGCCAAAGGCAGACGTTTAACGACTGAGCCACCCAGGCGCCGCTGAAAGTTATCCTTTATTATTTTACTTAATGATGGATTCCTTTCAAAAGGTACAAATTAAAAACTAAGACTTAATAAGGCATGTAATTCACTTCGTTCCTGACCTGTGGGTGTTAACCTTCCCGTGTCCTAAATGGCATTCACTTTTACAAGAAGTAATGATTAGTGATGTTACCAGAGGTTCCCCACCTGGTGCAAACATGTCTTCTGAGCTGACCCATCATGAAACTGTGTGTGTGGATGTACGCTGGCTAATTTTGTTACCTGAACTAAGTAACTTTGTCAAAGCAGATTGGAGACATCAAAACAGCTGAGAAGTATTTTCAAGACGTGGAGAAAGTAACCCAGAAACTGGATGGACTACAAGGCAAGATAATGGTTTTAATGAACAGGTAAACCTCTTTAAAAAAGACTATTTTCTCAAATCTCCCAAGAGCTCAGATTCTATGTAGTAAAGCCCTCTAGGGACGGTGTTCCTGCCCACACCCCAGACCTGACACACAAGTCGTTACCACCCAACGCACCCACTGGTGTCTCCTTGAACTTAGGCACCTTTCAGTCTCAACAGACTTTAAAATGTTTTCCCCCCGTTTTTCAAAGTACTGTTATATTGCCCATTTTCAACATAAATTTGCATAAATGTTTATTCTTTCTAGCCCCCCCAGCTGCTTTAATGCCCATGTTTTCATGTCTGTAGGAGTCACACACACAGTGTGGAGCTGGGTGGAGGTGGAGGTTTATGAAGATGGAGCCTGGGCCAGGAGCAGAGCTCACACTGCTGCAGAAAGTAACCAGCACGCAGGTGTCCGTTTTTATAGCAGGAAGTCACTTAAGTCAGAGGTCATAACTTCACCTAACAAGAGTTTAATTTGCCAGCCAGGGCACCACGATGTGGCTCATTCAGCTGCAGTGTCCATCCTCCCACCCCACCCCCCAACACCAGGCTGCTCAGAATCATGCCCAGGAGATGCGGCACGCTCCTGTCTGTGCCATTAACCCCTCTTCCTGCTTAACTGCTCTGTCCTTTATGTTCCAGAGCGTTCCTTCACCTCGGTCAGAATAACTTTGCAGAAGCCCACAGATTCTTCACAGAAATCCTCAGGATTGACCCAACAAATGCCGTGGTAAGGCCCCCACAAGAGCTGGGGGCTAACATCGGGGGCCTGTCCAGCGTCCATGGGCACCCATCCCAGTGGGTGGGCAGGTTCCCAGCAGGGCCAGCCTCGGCTGCCCACCCCCCCCCCCCCCCCCCCCCCCCCCCGGGCAAGCAGACAGATGGCTGCCAGGTCCAATCCTATGCCTATGTCCTCCCTCCAGGCCAACAACAATGCCGCCGTGTGTCTGCTCTACCTGGGCAAACTCAAGGACTCCCTCCGGCAGCTGGAGGCCATGGTCCAGCAGGACCCCAAGCACTACCTGCATGAGAGCGTGCTCTTCAACCTGACCACCATGTATGAGCTGGAGTCTTCTCGCAGCATGCAGAAGAAGCAGTCCCTGCTCGAGGCGGTCGCCGGCAAGGAGGGGGACAGCTTCAACACCCAGTGCCTCAAGCTTGCATAGGAGGACACTCACTCTCTGGAGCCCCCGGGGCCTCTGAATGGTGGACACGGGAGCTAATAGATGAACACAACTGACAAAGTCGATAAAATCTTTCACGAGTGCCAGGGAGCAGTCTTCTTCATCCGGAGCCATGCGGAGGCCCAGACTGTCCGGCGGTTTGTCAGACTCCAGCAGGCCCCGTGCCCACAGCTCTGCCAGGGGTTAGGAGTCCAGGGGGCCGAACATGTGCTGCAGGTGGCGGGCACGGGCAGCAGTGGCTCTGGGGCAGCCCTGGGTCCCTTTTGTTTATTCTTGAAAGCTGAGCTGCTTCATCTCATAACTCTGAATATCCTCAGAGAAAAGCTGAAAAACCAACTATTCTCATTCTGTAGATCTCCAGTACATCTGGGCATAAAGGCAGAGGAACACCAAACAGATCGCCGTGCACCTTCTCTCTCCTTCGCTCCTCTCACATCCCAGACCTAAACACATCACTTGTATTCATCCAATTCCTTTTCAGCTGATGCTGGACAGGCCTGGTGTTGGGGGAAAGAATCCACCGTATTTCTTCTGTGGTTTGTACAACCAAGGGAGAACACTGAACGTGCACAAGCAGGTGGGCTAGGAGGTATTTTTGAACCAAGCACATGTCGATTTAGGTGTTCCTTCATCCTGTATGCTGGGACATTTGCTTTAGTATTACAGAGTAGAGGGGAGGAGTTTTCTCCTCCACCCTGCTAGGTTCTTTGGGTGTTCTAATAAGCAAACTGATGTAAGACAGATTAACAGGATAAAAGTTTGATTACGTTTATAAGAGAAACTCCTAAGAATAGGAGACCCAAGCCAGGCAATTGAGGCTTCTGTGCCATCCTGAGCTAAGGAAGGAGCTAGGGGCCTGGGGCTTCAGCGGGAGAGGAGGGGGATTCACAGAACTTTGCCCCACTGTACAGATAAGCCATTCAGATAAAAGTTTATAGCTGGGAACAGCTCCCCTCTGAGCAAAGCCCCCATCCAAACCCTTCTAAGTAGTTGAGGGAGAAGTAAACGTTTTTCTTAAACCTGCATCCTGATCGTCTTCAGCTCAAGCTAACCCACTTGCCAAAATAGCATATTTGGGGGGCATATATCCTCCCCTGCCTCAGTCCTACCTTTGATATCTCCGGGAAATTCTGCAGTCCAGAAAGTGAGCTGGTAGATTGCTCTAGCTCACTGACCTCGTCTCTTAGTCCTGAGAATAGGTCGGTTCCATTAAGCAGCTGGGTCTTAGTTTGGGAGGCAGCTATGCAAGAGGGCTCCCAAGTGAGGCCTGGGTGTGAGTAACCAGGTGTTCGATGTGAGGACAGAAGGAAGTGGAGTTGAGTCACTGGAGCAGGCTGCCGTCCCAGTTTTTGAGCTCCAGAGCTGGGAGCATCTTCAGATGCAGTGAAGCCAGGTAGTGGATATTGGATGGCTGGCAAGCTTTCTGAGTGGCCCCCACGGGAGCTGGGGGGGTTTCTCCAGAGTGTATGTTAGGGGGTCCGGCTCTAGCTCGCACGGCTGCAGGAAAAGGACAGTTTTAGTTCTCAACAACTCCCAAGTAAGAAGGGCAAACATCAGTTTGGAGAGTTGCAGCCAAATATAGGAAGAAAATAGAAGAATTTGGACCTAGTCCAGTTTACAGGTAGAAAACAAAACCTCACAGCCCAGGAGCAGCACTAGACTCTGCTGTCCATGAAGGCATATTACTGAAACATAAGGTCTCTCTGCAGCCACCCCACATCCATCAAAGCAACCATAGCAAAACTAAGTCTGTTTTCCAATTGAGTCTAGTTTCAGTAACCCGGCCTGGTTATTTATAGACGTGCAGAATAACAGTGCTCACCGTATAGGCTCTATTAAGTCTGCTTTGCTGGAACTTTCCATAAAGAGTCTTGGATGAACTTCAAAAGTCTCTCCAGGCTAAGAAGCCACACCAAGGACCTGCTGTCAGACTTTGCCTGCAATACATACAGATTTAGGTGAATTCCTCTCTTCTCAAGGTCCCCAAAATATCCTGAGGTTCTTCGGCCTGCCAGGAAGTGCTCACCAGGCCAGGCTGCCGGGAACCCTGTAAGCAAGGGGCCAGGCTGATGTTGCCCCAGGGTGTTTATTGGCTCCATAAGGTCGGCCTTAGTTCCTGAAAGCTGATCATCTCAGGGTCTTCACAATGCTCTCAAATAGCACAGTCTAGTCAAAGCCTGGTAACATAATCATTCCCGGTCGTGTCCTGTTGCAAGAACAGATTCTTAGTGCGCTCATGCACATACACTGCCACTAAAATGAGAATACTAAGTTGGCAAATTCTGGAGGTATCGGAGAAAAATGGTTTCATCTTCGTTCACAAGGGTGTATCTTAAATTGTTGATACCTTCAAAGGTTTCCTTAAATCTGGAAAAACAAAAGAACAGGCAATGTTTGAAAGCAGAAGTCATGGAATTATAGTTCTAAGTTCATGCAGTTCCTTTAGTTCTAGAAGTCTTACCCAGCTCACTTTCCCGACTGTAAGACTCAGAAGCCCGTCCTTGTCAGAGTCGTTTCCTTGACTCTCCCTGAAGGGGGAGGTGCCTCTGCAGGAAGGGGAGGTGCCTCTGCAGGAAGGCCACGAGCGTCACAGTAAAGCACCTGGTCTGTAACCGACAAGGCTTAGGCTGCCCCTTGTTAAAGATCTGAGGAGAGTTCTTTATTATGGAACTGACAAAGCTAGCTGCTTATTTCTGTATGTTTTAAGATAACTGGAATTATGACCAACATCATCCCCGACATACTAGGTTTCTAGGAATTTCATGTAATTTGTAGAACATTTATATTAATATTCGCCCCTACAGTGCAACCTATGGTTTACCACCACGTATTTGACATGCTTTCCATATAACTTTACACATCAAATAAGCCTACTTAATGTAACATCGTTCTTTGTATAAGCGAGAACAAATCTCATGAGATGGTCCAGGAACCCCCTGGAAATTCTCAAAACTTAGAGGTCAAGGAAGGCCTTATTTAGAATTTGATTTGGGGAAGTTGGTCGAAAATATCAACACGTTTGGACACTTGACTGAAGAGGGTCACAGATGGCTGTCAACTGTACTTCGGATGATTTAGTCAAAGGGCCAGAAACCGAAGAGCTGGTGTAAGGTACAGAATCTTGGCTTCCTGGCACATTATTTAAAAGGTAAAGAAACTTTCACAGTCTCTTGTCAACAGCAAACCTGAAGAAGATTTCAAGAGTAAAAACCAGTTTTGTACCACTTACTTTTGATATTAAAACTAAATTTTAACCTTAGCCAGCTTGACCACACATTAAAATTTCTCTTCAAAGATTCCTTTTCCAGGGATGCCTGGGTGGCTCAGTCGGTTAAGCGTCTGCCTTCGGCTCAGGTCATGATCCCGGGGTCCTGAGATAGAGCCCCTCAGCGGGGAGTCTGCTTCTCCCTCTGCCCGCCAGTCCTGCGTGTGCACGTACGCTGACAAATAAATCTTAAATTAAAAAAAAAAGCCTTTTCCACAAACCTGAAGCTTTCTTTGTCCTCAACAAAAGTGCATCTTCACTCCTCAGACCTCCTTTTACTGAAAATCACATGTCTCTTGCATACAGAATGTTTTCCTTATTATTTCTAGTAGCTTCAATCACAGTTTTTTAAGCCTGAGACATTTCTAGTGAATGCCAACAAGCAATTGTGAACTGTCACATTAGTATTCTCTAGATTATAAAACAACGCCAATTTGCCAATTTCTAGAGACCTAGGCTTCCTGTTAGTACAGTTTGGTTCCATGTGGCACAAAAAACGTGTTTGCTAATAGACCTAAATAGCTTTAAAAGCTCCTCTCTAAAAGGAAGCCAAAAGTAGATAAACCCCATCCCCCTTCCCCCTCTAATGAGAAGCCTCTCCCTAAAGTTTGCATTTCAAAGCACTGCTCTGAGGTCCCGGAGAAGCTGGGGGTAGAAAATCTGCATCACAAAGGCACAAAGAAAGTCTCCAGAACTCTCTGGATGGAGTTCAGAGGCTTATTCACCTGTTCTCACAGGTCCCGGGTGCTCCCTGTTGAAAGGTTTCCCTTTGCTGTTCTGAAGGGCAGAACAGGTCCGTCCCAGCGACCGCCTCTTACCAGATCTGTGAACACAGCGACGGTGGGGGCGGTCAGGATCGGTAAAGACAGATGGGGTAGGAATCGCTTCTAGAGCCACACTTCTAGTTTTGAAGAGATTTGCAAGACCGTGGTTTCCAAATCCCCGGAGAACAGGGTTGCAGCCTGAATGTCACCAGGCCGATCCACGCACCCAACGAAGTGACCTCCAGCTTGCTTCTTGCCCTCTGGGGACAGTTTTATTTTAGCTTGAGGGAAAGGCCTGCACAAAATTAAGTAAAAAAATAATCCTGTCAGGCTCTGAGTATCAGCTATGGTCAAAAGTTCAGTCACACCAGGGGTCTCCCCTCTTATTTTCTGCCTTTTTATCTACTGATCGCAGGAGGTCATCCATTTGAGGATTTTGTGTTTAGGACATTCTACTGTGGCCTTTGACCTTTGAACAGCATCCCCAGCAGTCTGGGGACGGGCCTTGGGGACAGAGGGGAGCAGCAGGAGATGGCCCAACGTTTTAGGGACCTCTTGTAAAGAGCTAATGAGAAATTAAAGCTAATTGCTTCTCGGCCTTTTGGCTAAGATCAAGTGGAGAAATTAAAGCTGCAACAGTTCTTTCAACAAAGCGATTTTGGAATTAAGTTTTTTGGAGGCTTCTGCATATTAATTAAAATAGGCATCCCATTCTGATTTGGAAACCCTTGCTTTTAAGTGTACTGCTTACATAATCTTTGGTGTTCCTCCTAAAGGCCTTCCACCTTCATCACCCTGGTTGTGATGCCCCAGAGGGCTGGCTGCGGGGTGGTGGCACCCTGGCTGCATGGGGGTTAGCCCACACTTCTGCCGACCCGTATGTAGCCACAAAGGGGATGCACCCTCCTACACTTGTGTCTGGCCACATTTTGGAGCCCCCAACCTGACCAATCCCGGTTCTCAGGAGAAGAAACAAGTTTAGAATTCACCATTTCTGCGGCTACCCGCGGCTTCTGGGATCACAGTTCTAGAATACACGTTAAGCAGGGGTGCTGGAAGGCTGGGTGAGTAACTCTTCAGATTTTAAGGAGG